GGAACAGGAATGTTAGACATGTTTGGCTTTTCCCCTACCCAATTACATGTTCTTGGGTAAATTGTTCGCCATTTCTTTTCACAGATAAAAATTAATAGATCAGGGGCTGGGATTGTGACTCAGTGGGAGAGCACTCGCCTTGCACATGCGAGGCCCTGGGTTTGATCCTCATAAAAATAAATAAAATAAAGGTATTGGTCCAACTACAACTAAAAAATATTTAAAAAGTTAATAGAACCAAATAATAGATATTTTTGATTCATGGTTTACTATGGTCATGCTGCTTACATGATATCATTTACAGCAACCTCACGTAGGTCTGTAGCCTTGTCCCCGTTTGACACACTAGGGAACTGAGGTTTAGATTATGTAACTCATTAGAACACACTCTTAGTCATGGCAAAGGCTGGGTTCCAAGTCAGGTTGGGCTGGTGTTTGCCATTTTCATTATACACCACTTCTCACTCTGTTGGGCCCCATAGGTTTTCCTAATCCATGGATTTCAGGTCGTTTGAAGGGTCGGAGCGGCCAGGCATGTGGCATAGGTGTCTGTGTTCCTTCCAGATCAGCAGGAGAAGCCGGGCAACCAGTACTGGTCACTCAGGCCCACTCGGACTCGCTGGCGGCCAGGCCCCAGAGAGGCCGGGGCGTGGAGCAGAGGGAGGGGCCCGCAGGAGGCGGGGCCCCGGAACTACCCATCCCAGCATTCCTCGCGCCTCCCGGCGGAGGTGGCGGTCACGTGGACGGGGACAGAAGACGTTCTGCCGCGGCGGCCGCAGGGTGCTTCTCGGCGTCTGGAGCAGGAGGCACACTTGACGGTCTCCCCTGCCGCTGACAGCCCCCCACCCAGATCCCCGCTGGACCTGGTAAGCAGGCGGGACGGGCACGCGGCCTTGCCGGCCGGGGCTGAACAGCGTTTGCTCCTTTCAGAGGCCTTTCAGCCGCGGCCCGCCCCGCCCCCACCCTCGCGCGGACCCGGGACTGTGTGGGGCCGGCCCAGCCCGCGAGCGAGCGGGCGAACGGGGCCGGCGGAATCCGGATCGTCCAGCGCGCCGCGCCGCGCCGCATCGAATTGTTGGTTTGGATTTTAAGACCAGGAGCTGATTTCCCTTAGGTTTCGAACCCTGAACGGGAAATCTGCTGATGTAGGTGGAGGTTACTCCTTTTACTTCCACGCACAGCAGGACCCCGGCACGCATCATCTTAGTCCTTAAAAGACAGTGTTTTTTTCGTGCTTAATGGTGCTAAAAAGTTTGAGGTTTTAGTAAGACCCATAGTTACTGTTTTGCTTGCATATTTATATACTCTCAATTATATTTCATATCCTATGAAAAAGTTCATTCCTTTTCCTTCTTTGAACAAAGTCTCCATACTTATCAATAGTGCTTACTTGTTAGACTTTGTACTGTTAGAGAGATCCGGAGATGGGTGATCTTATTTGATTAAACATACTGTTTTTTGGTACTGGGAATTGAACCCAGGGACACTTTACCATTGAGCCACATCCCCAGCCCTTTTTATTTTTTGTTTTGAGTCAGGGTCTCACTAAGTTGCTGAGGGCCTTGCTAAGTTTGCCTGGATCCTCCTGCCTCAGCCTCCCCAGTCGCTGGGATTACAGGCATGTGTCCTGGCCCCTGGCTGGTTTTGTTTGTTTTACCTCTCTTTAGGTTTTAAAATACTTATTTTGGTTGCATATGAGGGATTGTTTCCTCCTCTTTATTTTTTAAGAATTAAGGCCTTGGGGCTGGGGGTTGTGGCTCAGCGGAAAAGCGTTCGCCTACCATGTGCAAGGCCCTGGATTCCATCCTCAGCACCACATAAAAACAAATAAAATAAAGGTATCGTGTCCAATTACAACTAAAAAATAAATTTTTTAAAATTTATTTTTTAGTTTTTGGTGGACACGACACCTTTATTTTATTTTTATGTGGTGCTGAGGATCAAACCCAGCGCCCGGCACATGCCAGGCGAACGCGTTACCGCTTGAGCCACATCCCCAGCCCCCCAAAATAAATATTTTTTTAAAAAAGAATTAAAGCCTTGACAGCTACCACAGTTGATCCGTTCTATTTTTTAAAACACATGGTTAGTTTGTAAATGGCCAGTGAAAATGGAAAAAGGAACTTCATGGTTGAAGAAGAAAAATTTATTTTTGGAAGCCTTTGGATTAGAATAGTTTGAAAAATGAAAATTTGCTATGGAAGCTTTTATCTCTATGTTAGGAAGGAAACCAGATAAAACAGCTTAAATGAGTCATCCAAGGTAACATGATAACCCTGTAGCAAAACTGGTCATCAAGTTGTGGACTCTGTATTCAACAGGAGCGTCTATAATGAAAAAAAAAAATCAGAATTTAGCTACTTATTGCAGGATTATTGGATATGTTAGTAATACGTTGTATCTTGTGTACAATTTATTTTTAATCTGAGAAGTCATTTTAAATTGTATTCATAGAAGTCCACATTTCTTTAAGTGCCACTTGAATTTCCCAAAGGAAGTTTGCTCAGAGAATCCTGATCTGCTTTATCTATTTGAGTTTGTGCACTAAGCCAATGGTGAAAGCATATAAACTTGGAGGTTCTACAACACACCAAAAATGTAAAGAATAAAGAATTGCTGGGTGGCTTTTTTTCTTCCAGCTGAGTATATCTGTATTTTATGAACCTCTTTTTAAGCCGTGCTCACAAGAGATGACTCAATATGGTGATTATACTTGATCATAAATTTCAGGCAGAAAAATCAAGTGTTTGGGAATAAGGAATGGTGTCCCCAACATTGGTTATGCATATAGACTTTGGAGTATAGCTGGGTCTGAATCCTGTTCTTTGACAATGTGACTCTCATAGATAACCTTGTAGTGCTGAACCATTTCCTTATTAGTAGAGTAGAGATTCATAGGGTCATTTGGAGTATTAAATGGGATAGTATAAGGACTCCAGATAAGTGGAAACTTTTTTGGGCTACTTTCCTTCATACTAGTATTAAAGGAGTTTTATTATATGATTTTGGTAATCAAACTAGAGAGGAAGAAAATTCACCTATAATTCCACTACCTTAACACATCAAATTGTTTTACTTTTTATGTATTTTTCTGTAGTCCATGACTGTAAATGTACAAACATTGGTTTGTTAACTTCAGAAGTTCTTTTTGTTTTTGCTTTCCCAACTGGGGATTGAACCCAGAGCCACTGAGCTGCATCCTCAGCCTTTTTTATTTTGAGACAAGGCCTTGATAAGTTTCCCAGGCTGGCCTCAAACTTGTGCTCTTCCTGCATCAGGAGGCTCTGAAAGTTTTATTGTAACTATATGAATAGAGCTCTCTGGGTTTGCCTTTATTCTGATCTACTGGTAAAAAAGCAGCAGAACTTTACTTAGTGCAATTTCCACTTTTCCCATTCCCCAGTATGTTTAAAAAAAAAAAAAAACGTTTTCAAGAACTTTTTTACGCCCCACAGTGGTGTTACATATCATCTCATTTACCTGCACCCTGCCTCTGTCTTCTAACTAGTGTTATTCCATTTTGTGGTTAAGAAAACCAAAGGCGGGGCTGGGGATGTGGCTCAAGCGGTAGCGCGCTCGCCTGGTATGCGTGCGGCCCGGGTTCGATCCTCAGCACCACATACAAACAGAGATGTTATGTCCGCTGAAAACTAAAAGATAAATATTAAAATTTCTCTCTCTCTCTCTTTGAAAAAAAAAAAGAAAACTGAAGGTGAAGAGAGAGAATTCAGATCAGAAGCAGGAGCGGTCATTAGTGCCAAGGCAGTCGGCTTCTTTAGTGGCAAGTGCTGTGTTGGCTTCTATATTTGTAGATTCGTTAGATGGCTACTAGATCATATATGTAATCATCAGGAGTTAATCCTGGAGGGTGACTTGCAGCTTCTTTGTATAAAAGTAACAGCATCTGTACTTGATAACTACTTCTACTTAGACCACCAGATGTAAACATCATCTTATAGGAAAATGATAAAGAATAGGGAAGTGTTTAGAGCCTTAACAGATGAGGCCACTCATCTGTTTTATTAGTTGTGGCAATAAAAATATTTATACGCAAGGAAGTTATTAGGACTACACTTTCCTTTTTTAAAACTTTAGAGATAAACATAGGGTTTATAATAAAGAAAGATGCTCCTTGAACCTTATAGTTTATAGTGAGCACTAGAATCATCTGGCAGACCTGTTAAAACAAATTCTTTTAGGAGACCTTGGAGATTCTGGTCTAATGGATCTGGAGTGGGGCCCAAGAATTTGTAGTTCTAACAAACTCCCAGGAGATACTAATTATTCCCAGCTAATAAGTTTAGTACAGTAAGGAAACACAATATTAATATTAGTGGTAAGCATGGTGGTGTGCCTGTAATCCCACCTACATGGACACTGAGGCAGCAGTATTGAGAGTTAAGAGGCCAGCCAAGGCAACATGGTGAGACCTCTTAAAAGAAAAAAAGGGGCAGGGTTTATTGTTCCAGTTGTTGGCTTGACAGTGACACCCCAATAGCATTGAGCACCTAGATCTTGATTTTTGAAGGAACCAGGTTGATTCTCGGGCCAGGACAGAGAAAATACCAGAGAACCTGGAATATGTCATGATGCTTGAAGTTAAGGAAGTACTCAAAAGTTTGGGTGTTTATTGAAAAAAAAAAAGTCAAGTTAGAGAATCTTCTTTTTTGGTATTAGGGATTGAACCCAGGGGCACTTTACCACTGAGCCACACCCGCAGCCCTTTTTCTTTTGAGACAAGGTCTGCCCTGCTAAGTGCTGTGGCTGCCTCGAACTTGCTATCCTCCTGCCTTAGCTTCCTGAGATGCAGGCACAGTGGCGGCACAAGGCAACTTGGAGAATTGTCTAATGGCCAAGTTAAAACAGTGAATAACAAAATGAGTATTGATAGTATTGAGGTGGTTTGTTTGTTTGTTTGTTTTGTGGTACTGGGGATTGAACCCAGGGGTTTTCTACCACTGAGCTATATCTCCAGTCCTTTTTATTTTGTTTTGAGACAGGGTCTTGCAAGTTGCCCAGGCTGGCCTCAAACTTGTGATCCTGCTGCCTCAGCTTCCCAGAGTTGCTTGAATTAACAGGCGTGTACGACTGTGACTGGCAATAGTGTTCGAATTTTAACCCTCAAAGTAAGTATGAGTCTATACTAATACCAGCCGAATAGACAAATAAGAAGGGAGAAGGGATAACTCTTACAGAGGAATTTAATTAATAAACAGAAGGAAAGAAGGAAATAGAAAATCACCAGTAGGCAAATAGCACCATACTACATGTTGCAGATAATATCTACCTATATGGTAGTGGGTGAAAGTTAGTGGAGAATCAGGCTATTTACATAGTCTCTAGTCTCTTGCCAAAGATAGTTATTAATTACAAAGGAAAAATAGTAACTCAGCAGTTGAGAGAAACTGTAGACCAAGTAATCAAGGTTTACATCAGATAAAACATCTGGGCGTCATGAATCTGGTGGTGGGACACAGTGAGAAAGACGCAGCATTGCATCTGTGGTGTTTGTTGTTCTTGCCAAAAATGCATCACCTCTTTTGTCTTTCTCATCATGATAAATGTTATACAAACCTACAGAAGGACACTCTCCAAACTGATCATACTCTTCCAAAGGGTCAAGTCACAAAGATGAGGAAAAGTCACAAATGAGAACTAATGGAGGAACTGTCACATATTGGAGACTAAGGAGAAATAGCAACTAAGTGCAATGGGGGTCCCTGAAACAGAAAAAGAACGTTAATGGAAAAACTGGTGAAATTGAAACATGGACTATATTATTTTAATTGACTTGCACCAATGTTAATTTCTTGGTTTTAATAATTGTACTTTAATTACATAGTTGCTAAATGAAGGATATGATGGGGACTTTTTAATTTTTAAACTAAATTTTTGCAATTTTCCCATAAGTTTTAAAATTAGTTCATACTAAAAAGTGTAATAAAAATATGTTCACTTGAAGTAGATATAAAAGATGACTAGGGAAGGTGAGTAATACATTGAGAGTCAGTTATGGCACCCACTGTTGGAAATCTTAGCAGACTCTTGAATTTTTTGTGTATTGCTATTGCTTTTCCAAGGTCAGGCTAAACCAGAGAGATATGAATCAAAGGGTTGGGAGTGGGAGGAAGAAGGAAAAGCAGGAAAAAAAAAATCACTCAGAAAGTACGTGTAGTATCTGAACCGCTCCAGGCATTCAGTCTCTGTTAAAAACAGTTCCATAAGGAAGTAATGGGAGTTCTTTTTTGTTCCTGTTTTAAACTCCCTTTTAAACCCTCTTTTAAAAATCTGAAACAAGTTATCAGTTAGTGAAAATACTGGAAAATGAGTAGAAAAACTGTGAAAAAATAGTACTGGGATATTATGACAGTGGATTTGGTGTAGAGAAGTGGACAAGACCTAGAAATTTGTTATAAACACAAATAGCTATTGCAGGTATTAAAATACCTAAGCTTGTACCAGGTCTGACTATTGAAATCTGTTTGGCTGTTGGTATTTTAAATGGAAACTGTGGATAGAACCATGGACTTTTGATCTAGTAGGGCAGAGTAGGTGGAATGTGCCAGTAAACTTCTAAACTATGTGTTCTCTTCGCACACATACCCCCAACCCCAACTATACAACACATACACACACCTGTTTTGTTTGTCAGTTCCTGCAGTGAGACAAGAACATTCTGCAGCTGTCCTCAATCCTAGGATCGTATTTTTTTAATTAGCTTATCTCAACAGTGTTTGTGCTAAGTAGCACTAAATATTATCATCCACATACCTTCTCTTTGACAAACTAAAAGTAGTTGCTCAAAAAAAAGGTAGTTCTTCACAAAATAAAGTCTTCAGGACTATTTCTTTTTATAAAATATTTTCAACAAAGAATTATTTTAGAGTATATGAATTCAAAAAGAGGGGCTTCTTTATTTTCATATTCCCTAATCACCTAAATTGAAAATTCATGAAATATGAAGCTCTTAAGATTTCACTTTGTGTATAAAACTTACTGGAGAAACTATTTCATACAAAAAGTAGACACTTAGGACTGTTGATTAGCCTTAGATTATGCTGTGAAAAAGAATATTTTAAGTGGAAATTTGAGAAGAATCAAAGCTTTTATTTTTTTGATGTGCTTTTGATTTTATGTATCATATGAGGAATTTGGTCAAGGCTGAAGTCTAAGGGATATATTGCCTGAAAAATTGTCACCCTAGGGGCTCTGGGGCTCAGGGGTAGAGTGCTCAGCTGGCACATGAGAGGCACTGGGTTCGATCCTCAGCACCATATAAAAATAAATAAGTAAAATAAAGATATTATGTCCAACTATAGCTAAAAATATATATATATATTAAAAAATTTGTCACCCTAATAATTAATAATTAATGATCAGACTTAGTCTGAAACTTAATTATATCCGACCACTAAAAAGAATGAGCGAATTTTTGTCTATCAAAGACAGATTTGAGCTTGCTTAATAACAATTTGTTAAAGAAATAACAAAGAATGTTATTTATTATGTATAAAGCTGCTGTGGTTAGCTGATATAAATTTCAGTGAATTAAACAGAACTTCATTTTCTTTTCTTTTTTTTTCTTTTTTTTTTTTATAGTGATAATTGAGCCCAGAGGCACTTAAACTTGCAGTCCTCCTGCCTTAGCCTCCAGAGTTGCTGGGATTATAAGCGTGTGCCACCATGTCCAGCTAGAACTGCATTTTCTATTTTGGTGCTAAAGTACTGTTCTCCGCCCCCCCTAAATTTTCTCCTAATACAATTTCAGGAAGAATCTTATATTTACTTTAGTTCTCACAGCCAAAAAAACTGATTGGTAGTTTCTTTTGTGTTGTACAGGACCTCTTTAAGCTTTGGTTTTTTACCCACTGTGTTTGGTCATTTAGTTTGTTTGAAAATAGAGGCATTCCAGCTTCTTTTGTGAACCTTGCTAAATGTTCTGTGATCTCCATAGGTGATCTTTTTTTTTGTATCCCTCTAAAGTCCTTAGCTTTCACCTATAGCATTGATTCCACTCTGGATTCCCCGGACATAGAAGTCTTGAAAGATTATTTTTTCTTATCTATAATAATTGGCATTGGGTCTGGCCCATGGTGAGTCCCCCTTAAAGAATTGTGTTTAATCGTTAGTAGGGTAATGGTAGTTTTCAGGATATTTTCAGCATTTCTAAAAGCCCAATGATAGTAATACCTTTATCTTAAATCAACTGCTAATTTATTTATTTTTTAGTTGTAGTTGGACACAATACCTTTATTTTACTTATTTATTTTTATGTGGTGCTGAGGATTGAACCCAGGGCCTCGCTTGTGCTAGGTGAGCACTCTACCACTGAGCCACAGCCTCAAATCAACTGCTTTTGACTTGTGTTAGTAGAATTGAAGAAGGAAGCAAATTCAGGGTATCTCAATATTTCCAACGTTATATTATAGATATTTTGAATAGTATTTCTAGTTTAAAATGTTGAAAGTTCTAACTAAAGCTAATAACACTAGTTTTTCTATTAGAAGTTCTGATTGGCAAATCTACGAGGCTATGAGAGTGCAGATTGTTCGAATGTCTTTCCAAAATGAGATGGGGGGAACAAAAGTTGCCCTTGGTAGTGAAATGATTAGGAACCATTTTAGATTCCTTGGGAGTCCAAAAGCATGTACCATCTTTCTGGAAAAAAATGCATATAAAATTTTTTATATGCAATGTCAGAGGATTCAGAAGGCCCTGAAACCTATCCTGTTTATCTTTTTGTGTATGGGGGTGGAAAATCATGAGAGGTGATTTCTCCCATCTCCACCCTAATATACACACTACCAAACCGTGTCCTGGAAATTTGTGAACAGTTTGTGAAAGGACTTTCTAAAGTATTAACTGTCACTGTTTTAGAAAGGGAGTGTCTCATAGTGGTTAAGAGTAAAAAGACTCTGAAATCAGGATGGTCAAATCTGGTTTCTTTAAAGCTATGCATGTGAGGTCAGGCAAGTTGCTTAACTGTTTCATAACTATGAAATGGGGCTAATAATCCTCCTGTGGATTATTGTGGTGATTAAATTGTTAATACACATAAAATGCTTAGAAGAGAAAGTGGCTTTCCTCAGGTCTGCTGTTAGCTGTTGTTGATAATAGGTGTAGCTGATGGTGTGTTACTGTGAGTGGTTGAATACCTGGCCAGGTGAGGTGCTGGAGGCTGCAGATTGCCTGGAGGAAGGGTTTGTTTTTCTAATTGGTGCAGAGACACTGTATGAAATAGCAGTGTTCCTACACACAAATGCATTCCTTCATGGGGAATGCCAAAATAAACTTTCTTTTTCATACCAGCATTAGGTAGGCCTCTTTTACCTCATTTCTGTAGAAAAAATGGTGGGTTACAATTTTAGGAGAAAAGCAAAGATCCATATTGTTCTCTTAAAAGAGTATTGTTGCTCTTTTTAAATTATAAAATATTGAATAGAAATGCTGTAAGTTACTAGGAATTGTGATATATTGAACATTTTTTTTTCTTCCATCTAGTTATCTTTAAAATTCTAGGAATGTCTTCCCAGGTCCTCTCCTTTAATCCTACAGTTAAAGATAATAGTTACCCTGGGTCTGATGCTTATCGTCTTTTCTTCTTAGCTTTACTGCTTATCGTCTTTTCTTCTTAGCTTTACTGCATGTTTATCCTTAAATAATATATCAATTTTATGTTTTCCAAACTTTATTAAGTAGAAAATTTATAGGAATGTGTATATGTATATATTATTTTTCTTTTGCTACTTTTTTTTTTTTTTAAGTTTTATCTCTGTATACACAGTATTCCAATGTGTGGCGATACCTGGATTTATTTACCTATTGTACTCTTCATGGGCATTTTGGCTGTTAGTTTGGTGTTACATAGGGCTACTCAGTGTTTTTATTCATGTTTTTAAATGTGTATTCACAGGTTTCTCTAGGGTATATGCCTAAGAGTGGAATTGCTGAGTTACGAGTAGTGCACGTCTTTAGCATTATTAGATAATGCTAAGTTCATCCAGAAGTGGTTTTACTCACTTACACACTAACATTAGAATATAAGGGTTCAAGTTGCTCTTCCTTGTCATTTACTTCTTTTAAGAAATATTTGTTGGACACTTCAAGCAGTGAATAAAAGGACTAAAAGCCCTCTTCTCAGGCAGTTTATATTTTAGTGGCCAAAAAAGCTAAAACGTGTAATACAGCAAGGTGTTAACATATTTTGTGGGGTCAAGTCAAGAAAGGGGAGTGGGTGCTTTCTCTCTCTGCTCTCAGAGCCACATGGGCAGTGAGAGTCTTAAGGGGATGAAGGACAGCCAGGAAGGCTGGGGCTTCATGTGATGGTTGACATGAATAGAGGTGCAGGTATGAGATTGGTTCTGACGCTTGCGAGCAAATAATGGTAGTAACCCTATGAGTGTTGGTGAGGTGCAGGGTTTGGAAATTGTGCCAGAAGCATTTGACCCTTCTCTCAACTTATCCTAGTGGTAGTAAGACTGAAAAGTGAGCAAGGAGGCTGGTAATGGGTGGCATTCTGAGCACTTGGAGATCTTTAGTCCCCCTTGATTCTTGTCTGTTGTGGTTTGAGGGACCAGGGCAAGTGTAGCTCATCTGAGACATCTGCAACACCAGCGTTTTGATTCAGGATTACTTGGAGTTCTGGTGATTGCTTGATTCTTGAAGTTGGATGTAACCCAGCTCTAGGTCTGTCTCTTAACTCCTATAGATGGAAATGGGGATTCCTGGGGGAGAGATGCTTTTGCCTTGAATAATATGTGGCCCCCGATTGTCAGATTTGTCAATTTTGCCAGTCTGGTAGATGTAAAATAGTATCTTGCTATGGTTTTAATTGCATTTCCCTGATTTCACTCTAAAAATTCCAAATTCTATATCTGACTTAGTCATGAAACTTTGCTTTTATCATTTATGTTTAATGAGTTCCACAGTTATGAGGATTTTATTTCCCATCTGTCTGTTCTATGACTATACACCCTATATTTAATCTAGCACCTGAAATTTTATTTTGATTGTTTCTGTCAACAGAGCCTCGGGGAAATCTATCATTCCCTGTACGGTCACTACCAAGGAAGTCCTTGAGTCAAAAACGCACCTGAGTCGGAGATCCTACCTTTCTTCCACTCTGCCTGAGTGCCTGACTCGGTAGACTCATCCACTCATTGTCATCTCACTTCAAAAAACAGGTCAATAAATCTATATTGACTCTTTCACTACCTCTGGGTACCATTGAAACACGGGCCCCATTTCATATCACTGTAGGAGGCCCTTCATTGCCTTTTCAACTTGCCATTTTAAAATCAGAATCATGACTCTTCTTGCAAGTTTGTAAGGAAAATGGCTGCCTACACCGAGGCTGTAAGTCCTGCTTTTCAGGCTAGTTCTTTATATAGTTTTACCACCTACACCCTCCCCAGTGTTCCATGTTGTCCCTTGTTGCCTCAGAATTTACAAAAAGAACGCTGGAGAAAGGGAGAGTATATGATGTAATTTTGGTAATCTGGGGTACTGCCTAATGGCTGCGGTGTTTCAGGTACCCTACTCCCCACCTGTTTACATGTTACATTCAGTGGCATGAGGGAGCACAGAGGTGATGATAGCATCTGCACATTCCAACTGGTTGATGATGCATTTTACAAGGTAAATCAGGTCTCTTGTTCAGGGCTGTGCCTTCACATACTTGTTTTCACAAACACAGTGTGCATTGACCTGCAAAGACAAGCGTAGGCAGTGAGACCTGCCCCACTGGTTTCTTTTTCAGCCTTCAAAAGGGTTTTATCCAGTTTCCTATGGTTAGCTATTAAGAATATTACCTAATAATTTTTTAAGCTTTCTCCTGTTCAGAATGAAGTCTGTGATGGAAAGCCTACATCATTAGTGTCATCCCACACATCGTTAATGTTTAGGGAATACCATATACGGCATCCCTTTCACAGAAGAGATATACTAGAGCTCTTAAAGTTTAACCAGGTTAAATATGATTATACAGACCTTATTATTCCAGAAGTGCAAAAGGAGTATAAAAAAGAAATCTAGTCCTAAAAGCATTGTCTTATATAAATCCTAAATAATCCAAAACCTTTCTTAGAGCTCACATGAGCATGACTCCCAGAAGATAAATTTGATTGAACCCATACTATAGTCTCATCTGCCCTGACTGATCCAAATAAGTTCTAAATGCATGTCTTTTATGTTCTTTCCTTTTTGTGGCGCTGGGATTGAACCCAGGGCCTCCTGCATGCTAGGCAAGTGCTCTACCACTGAGCCACACCCCCAGCCCTTCAGATGCATGTTTCTGATGATATTGTGAGCAACTGCAAAGCCCATATGAGTCGTCTGAAGTTTTATCATTTACAGGTGTGTGACGCATTCCCAGACCCTCCATCCAAGTCAGCATCAGCTACTTCTGTGACTGGGTCCAGATTAAGGTCCTCCCAAGACAGACTTCATTAGATCCACGCTTAAGAGGAATCTGCCAGGTTTTCCTACCCCCTCTGCAGCACTGTAAAGTGTCAAGGCCTGAAGACTTGGGTACGTGTATTACAACTGCAAGGGTGCCAGCACCAGCCACACAGAGTAAGCCTCGTGTCTGTGTGACGCCACCACCGGCTGATAACGCACAAGAAAAAATAACTAATTGAGACTAGAGCCCTCTCTTTTCTTGTGAAGCTGGGATTTGAAAGAGCTGTTCTGAGATCTGCACTGCTAGTAAGTGACTGATAACATCATAGACTGCATCGGTCCCTGAGGTCAGAGATTGAGCTGCAACTGAGTGAACACCAGACAACGAAATCTTGAAGAATTGCACTGAGGTGCAAGCCACATTGAACCTTCTGCAAGTAATGCTGGTTGAACTGAGAAATTGCTAAACAAACCTGTAACGGGACTGCTTATTTGGGTGTCTCTGTCAATTTGCCTCTTGCTGTTACATTGCTCCTTGTGTTGTCTTTTGAAGTCCAGATGTTCTCCGATAATTCACATTGCCCTGATTGTGGGCAGCAATGGTTCCCTAGCTTAGAACTAGGCCATTGGTTGTACCAAACCGAACTTGTTGAAAATGAATGCTACCAAGTATTCTTAGACCGTATTAACAGAGCTGATTATTGCCCAGAATGCTATCCTGATAATCCTGCTAATAGAAGCCTTGTTCTTCCTTGGTCTTTCCCACTTGAGTGGGCTCCCCAAAATCTTACCAGGTGGACCTTTGAAAAAGCCTGCCATCCATTTCTTCTGGGTCCTCCACTGGTTAGAAAAAGGATACATGACTCCAGAGTAGCTGGTTTTAACCCTGCGTTACAGTTAATCTTGACCAGAACAGATAAAACCTTAAACAAAAAACTTGGCCAAAATAAATAACTTCAATAATAGTAGAAATCATGGAGACTGTAGAGGGTTTTGTGCTAATAGCCCAAGGAAGATGGAAATATAATTCATTTTTTTTTCTTTTTCCTTTTTTTTTTTTTTTTTGGGGGGGGTGTGCTGGGGATCAAACCTGGGGTCTCACCCATGCTAGGCAAGCACTATACCACTAAGCTATATCCCCAGCCTCATTTCTGAATCTGACCCAGGCACTACTTAGGGGAACTGCTTAAATTATTGGGTTTGCTTCTGTGGCCTAAGCATATTTTATTTAGCATATTTTAGTATTCTAACCAGATGGTTCATCTAGAACCAGACTAATGCATATAAATAATGTTTTGAAACTAGCTTGCCCCTCCTAAAAAGTTGTACAACCTAATTATTGATATCCAACTAGGTATTCCTGGAGGGGAGGCCCCATACTGTGTGCCCCATAATTGTATTTCTAATAGTAACTTTTGTGGGAAAGCATCCTCACTGTAGCTGAATTCTAGATTCTTCCAATAAATTTTAATAAGAAACTACATTGTTCTAAATTGTCCCTCTTCTACATCTATCGGTGATAAAGAGAGATGTATGAGTGTGTGTGTGTATAAAATTTATTCATATATAACTATTTATTCCTCTTGCTCTGTTTGGCCCCATCCTCATGTTAATAACTGGTCATGGCCAGAAAAATTACATTCTATTAGGCAACACTTACATAGTTTACACAAAAATATGTAAAAATGCTGCCTGTTTACATTTTTAACTTGGCTCTACATAACCAAAGACTACCCTGTCTTTGTAGTGACTGAAACCTAAAATGTCCTCCCTTGGAAATGGAAAAGTACCTGTATTGTGAGGTTTATGGCAAAAGGAATTACCAAGCTTGACTTTATATGAATTATGAACACTCTAGTGGAAGCATCTTTCTTAGAAAGTCTTGCTGGCCATGTCTGGCCTTCTCTTATTCATGAAAATCATGGAATCAGAGTTGGAAGTTAGGCAACTTGGGAAAAGCTGTTGGAAACATCTCAGAAGCCACTGGACAATTTTCAGATTAAGATGCTGGGTAATCCAGTGCTTGTGTAGCTAGCAGCTCAGCAATGCTTTTGAGGATCCAGACTCTGTCCTTACCTCTAGGATCCTTGTGTTTGATTTCTGTCTTCATGGTTTGTTTCCTCAATGAGTGTAATATGGTTTGTTGTTGCCCCAGACATTTTAATCCCACCAGAGACTGGAAGCAGGGAGCAAAAATCTTTCTCTCTTCAAGATTGTCTTGTTTGGGAGTAAAATCTTTCCACCAGATTCCTAGCAGATATCTTCTTACATCTCACTAGAAGGTTAACCAGGGAGCCTGGAGAAATCTGGCAAAGGGGAATGGGGTTGGTATTGCCCCAGTGGGGCACATGGTCTCCACTGATACAATCAAGATTCTTTTAGGAAGGAAGAAGTGGGGGATGAATGGCTGTTGACATACAACAAATCATACTTGCTGCATGTTATGAAACGTAAAGTTATTTATTAGTCTGTGTGAAGAATGTATCCCAGAGACCCACTTCTGTGTTCTGCCTTATGTCTATCATGATGGTTCTCCCCAGTTACATTGCTGAATAAACTCTGTGGACTGCTAAACGGAGTGAAGACCACTTAGTTTATCGTTAACCTGTGATTCAAAACTCCCTTCACTACTATAAAGCTCTTCCTAAAAAAGAGACAGGGCTTTTGAGGATAGTACTATGATAATGTTGTTGCATCTGAATTTTTTCAGTTATTAGAGAATGGTTATGCTCCAGGGACACATGCTAGGAAATGTTGGGGACCACAAATCAAGTCAAGATGGCACCTGGCAGTTTGCCAGGAGGAGTGGTTTGTGAGGCAACGCCACCAAGCCATTAAAATGGTAAGGATTCCTTATTGGCTGACTGCTGTATCTAGATGATGCTAATTGAGTCAAGCTGTGTGTAATCAGTTAGGCATATATAACCTCTGCTGTTCCGCAATAAAGCGGTGCCTGCTACCTTAGGTGCCCGCTACCTTGAGTTCCCGCTGAGTTTCCTCCGCAATAATGCAGTTCCCTCTTCAACCTTCAAGTTGCTTGTCACCTCCCGGTTATTTTGCCCAGCCGGACTGCGGCAAGGAAACATTCTACATATGTGAAATTTTCAATATCAGCAAAATGGAGAAAAGGTCTGTATTTTTGTTTTAACCAATTTTAAGTAGTGGAGAAACTCTGCAGCAGCACATCCAAGGTATTTACTTATTGGTTTAAAAGGATGGGAGCTGTGTGAGTAGTTTTTATACTAAAAGGTAATGATGTAGTTTGGTGTCCCTAATTCGGAGATCTGAAATATTCCAAAATCTCATACATTTTTGAGTTATCTTGTCAGTGCTCAAAAATTTTTGGTTTCTGGAGCATTTTGAATTTTGGGATTAAGGATACTTGACCAGGCCAGGCATGGTGGCGCATAATCTCAGCAGTTTGGGAGGCTTAGGCAGGATGATCCAAAAGTTTAAGGGCAGCTTCAGCAATTTAGCAAGGCCCTAAGCAACTTAGACCCTGTCTCAAAAAGAAAAAAGGCTGGGGATGTGGCTTGGTGGTAAAGCACCCCTGGGTTTAATCCCCAGTACAAAAAAAAAAAAAAGAAATAATCCATAAAGTCTATGCAAATATTCCAAAAGCCTGAAGTCTGAAATGCTCTGGATTTTGGATAAGGGATCTTCAACCTGTATTTATCATACTTTATACATGAAATATAAAAAGGTTTCATGTCAGACTGAAGGCCACTGTTGATATTTTAGGTCTTAACAGCCATGTTTTTCTTTTTAAGACTTCCCCAGGCATCCTCATGAACAGTTGTGTACTGCATTATAAGTATGTGGACAAGAGAGGGGAATTTTTTTAAAAAATCTTCAGTTTAATATTAACAAGGGTACTTTGCCTTCAAACATGATGGTGTTATCACACCTATTAGGTTCACTCTCAAATCGACTTCATGTAGAAAAGCTCATAAAAGTGAGCAAAGGAGAAAATTTAGAAAGCCTTTTTTGCTTCAGCTTAGGTGTTTTTGGAATGAATTCACAAGGCTTAAAATATTGCAGACTATTCTAGAATACCTTGTAGTTGATATGAATAATGACATTAAAACAAATAGGTTGCTAAAATTAATTCTAATAACCTGCTCTGGGGTCTGATATTTTCAATTGTGAGCCTTATAAGTCTCTATTTGCATTGTGTGGGAGAGTTGATGGTATTACTTAGACATTTTGAAAATGACCATTATACCTGTTTCCAGTTATTTAATGGCAGATTTGGGAGTGGAAACATACTGGGGCAGACTGGGGAAAAAATACACCCACCAGAGCGGTGGCTTCTGAGGCAATGTGTGTGATTGATTGAAATAAGACAATAAGTTATAGCAGGAGGCCTGGCCAAGCAGACAGGTAAAAAACAAGTCTGTGGCATCTGAAAAGTATGTGACAGTCTGCATGTCGTGGCTTCTCATACCCACTTCATCTCCTAGGTCTCCACTGGCAACCCTTGAGACTCCGTGGAATTTTAAGGACATGGCTTAAAAACTGATTTCTAAGGAGGAAAAATAATGACTTTGCTGCCAGCTGGGTTTGTGTTCTAATTCTGATGCGATCAAATGATGTTGAGCATCTTAATCATGCTGTGTGGTTTTGCCATCTGTGAAACAGGCAGTGTTATAATGCCTACTGCATACCATTGTGGGGTTTGAGTGTAATAACATAATCTGACCATACTTCACATAGTAAGGTTGAGGAGAAGGTCAAGACATCAAGGCAGAAATGACAACTATGGGATAAAGTAGAGTCTAAAGTTTTAGAACAGGGATTAAAGCCTGTTAGAACTTGCTCTGAATTATCAAAAATTTAATCTCCCAAGAAAAACAGGATTGGTCTGAGGTCTGAAGTTGAGCCTGTAGTCACAAGTCAAATGGTCTTCTGTGTAAAGGTGAAGAGGCCTGGAGGAATGGATGACCCAGGGCAGATCCTTGTCCCATTTTTCAGGCTCGTGGATAATCTTAATTATGGTATATGTCATTGCCACATGATTTACTATGTCATCTGAGCTTTTCAACAACAAATAAGCAGAGCAAAGTTGAGAGAGATGTCTAGATTCACCCAGGTCACATATGCTAGAGTCACATTCACTCTTAGATCTAATATTGTAGGACCTGGGTGCTTTGTTTACCAGTTTGAGATTTTCAAACTGTCTTAGTCGAAACTTGGTGTGCTACAGCCAGGCTATCTTTTTGTTCGAAAATTCTGACTCTGCTCTTAATGGTCATGTGTTCTTGGGTAAAGTTCTTAATCTTCTGCATCTCGGTTTCCTCATCCAAACAGTAGTAGGAATATTAATTGTCCCAACTATATGAGATTGTTGTGAAGATTAAAGGGTCATTAATGTGCTTTGCTGCCTGGCACAAAGAGGGTGCTCAATAAATGTTAGCTATTATAATTGTGCATGCTTTATTTGTTGTTTGTTTCCTCAGCAGGATTAGAAATTGCTTGAGGGTCAAGATATCGGTTTTCATCCTGAGATCCTAAAGTTACATAATTTACTAAACTAAGAGTGGTTAAAAAATTCAGAAATACATAAACTTACTGGCTCCTCACTGCTATGCCCTTGTCACAGTTGCACTCATTTAAACCAACATCCTGGCTGGAATGACTAATTTCTTTTGCTCTATAACTGCTAAACTTTTAATTTCCTTGTGCTCGTCCTCTTTAAAAACTTAAAAGTGTTTCTCACACCTGGCCCCCTCCCCCCAGTCCTCTCCCAGGTCTCCATCTTCTGCCCTTCTTTTCTCTGGCCCCTTTGGCAGCATCAGAGGTTTGTAGGATGGAGTGAGGGAGGGTAGGTCCTGCTACTCTACCCGTCCTGATTTCCTCACAGGCAGCATTTGCTTGGCTTCTTTTTACATAATTGTTAGACTTCTAGGTTTCCTCTTCGTTGAACTGCTTGTCCATCTCTTTTGCCTACTTTTTCATAACATATTTGTCTTTTATTGACTTGGGAGTTTTTGTATATTCTGGGTGTTAATCCTTGACTAGTCATATATGCTGCAGATATTTTTCTAGTCAGCAACTTATCTTTTAATTTTCGTATTTTTTTTTGTCTAGTAATTGAACTTTTATCATGTGATCACACTTGTCAAATTCTTCTTATGGTTTGTGTATTTTATATTTTGTTTAAGAAACCCTTGAAGTTAGAAAGATATTGACATCTTCTGAAAGTTTCACAGTTTTGCTTTTTACATTTAGGTCTTTAATCTGGAATTGATTTTTGTGTGAGGTCAAAATCTAATTTTTTCCCCATTTGACTCGTCAGTTGTGCCTCAACTATTTATTCATTAATCTATTTTTTTTGTGTCACTTAGCCAACTTCCTTTACACAGACTCACACACATACTGTCCACGTATTTTTTTGACTATTCTGCATGTTCCATTGGTCTGTTCTTGGCCCAGGACCTCATTGTTTCTGTTAAATGTGTCATTAAAGATTGCCCCTTCTTTAGGATTTTCTTAATTCTTCTGGATCCTCTGCCACTTGCCGTTTTCAAACTTTAGGATCAGTTTGTCTATTCTGTTAGAAACCAACCACAATCAGAAAGCTTTCTTGAGATTGTGTTTCACATTGTGTTGAATGTATAGATTCCATTTGGAGAAAATTGGAACCAATGGTTTGCATTGTTACTGTCTATGCACAACTTATTTTTCTATTTAATTTATCTCTCCCCGAAGTTCTCCCACATCTGTTAGATTTCTTACTGTGTACCTTTTAGTTTCTGTTTTTAGGTATCTTATGCTGATTGTGAATAGCATATTTACTTTCTAAAATTTTTTTCCACTGGTACATAGAAAACTTTTTACTCTAAATATTCTTGGTTTGGGCTGGCAGGAAGAAAATTTTCTTTAAACAAAATTGAAAAGGATTGGGTACTTTTTATTTTCTTCAATGAACTAAGAGAGAAGAAAAACTCTGCTTATAACAGGGGATAGCATAATTAAATGCAAAGCAGTTCCAGGATCTTAAAGAAGAATGGGGTGATTAGGAAGCCTCCAAATCTGACATGTTCATAAGTGTTCACATCAGTGGAAAGAAGGGCCTGTCCCTCATTCCTCCCTTCCAGTTTATGCACCACACCACTGTTGATTCATACATTCATTCATTTTTTTCTCATTTAAAAATGAAATACAGAATTCTTACTATACACTGGGCACTGTGTTAGGCATTTGGAATACAAAGTTTTAAAGATTTTAGTTTGTGAAACTAAATTTTACAACAGTACTGTGAGAAAAACAAAAGAAAGCCCATTTGAGAGGCTAACCAATTAGCTATCAAAAAATGTAACTGTTCAAAGCTCTTTCACATGTGTTTTTGCATTTAATACAACAATGCTTTGTCTCATTTTTTTTTTTTTACAGGTAATGAAGGTTAAGTAACTTACTGACCAATTTGTTTTTTCTTATTTTTTTATTTTTAAAATCTTTTTTTTGTGGTGCTAAGAATCAAACCCAGTGCTTCACATGTGCTAGGCAAGCTCTCCACTGAGCCCCAACCACAGCCCAACCAATTTGTTTTTGACAATAAGACTTAACTTTAA